GTAAGGGGTCGAGGACTATGGTTGGTAAAAATCGAGGTAAAAATTAATTCATTTCGTGGGGACCTTTCATTAGAGTACCATGAAAAACAGTTTCAGCCCCCCATCCCCTCTTTTAATAAGGGCTCAAATAGAAGGGCGGTAGTTGATAGAATACAGTGCAGGCCTTTAATTAGAATTTCATGAAAGATCAAATTAATTTCACCTCCCGTCCCTTCCAGTCATCTACTGATTTCGACGAGACCTTTCGTTGGAATCCCATCAAGGGTAGAACATGTGCCCCCCCCCCCTCCATTCGCAAAAGTTTTACTTGGACAACTCCTCTAAAAGTAGTTCAAAACCGGAGAAGTCGGTCTGGACAGACAGACGGACGGGCGGACGGACGGACGGAAACTGTGGCACATTTTTTTAAATTCTTCAACAATATGCTCGACAATGTGCTAAAAATAATAAATTACCCTTAGACAAGCGTATAGGATCTCGTTTTCTTTCTTGGCACATGTTCAAAAACGAAACTCATCAATAAGCAGGACGTAGCTCGTAGTACGTAGCGGGCAGCGAGGCTAATCCAATTTCGTATTCACGCATTTTGTGCAAATTTTGTTGTTTTTTTTGTGTAAGTTTGGTTTTAAAAAAATTGAAAAAACAATCTTAAACTTACCATTTTTGTGTAAAAAAGTGTTCGTACCAACGAATCGAACCCGAGCATGGGTGCAAGCGGGTATCCTAGCCACTAGGCCAACGGTCGGCAACCCGCAGGCCACATGCGGCCGCGAGCTGTCTTGTTACGGCCAGCAGGATTCTCGCCGCCAGATAATTTTCATGAATATTTTGTTTTATTTCATTTACATTATGAGTACAATATATAGGTAAGTTAGGAGTTGTATTTTTAACGCATTTTTGCAAATTTATTTGAAAAAGGTAGCTTTTAATCTCACTTTGGCCGGCTGGCTGGTTGACAACAAACGCGGACTGGTAGAAGAACGCTTGTAGCAAGACAAGGAGTGTTAAGTGTACCTACCGGAGCCGAGTAATTAACAACTTTAGAAACCGGGTTACATGATGTGGGGTCGGCGACATCTGGGTGCTATCACTGAGCGTGTTATACTATGTGGTGATTTTTCAGTTTTTTCGCGTGTTTTCGAAAGGTAGTCAGTCGACTTTGGGCTTTGGGAACTCGAATTACAGTCTCATTTTCGTGTCGCTAATAGATGCTCGAGCTGTGAGAAGTGCCCCAAAAATTGGGGTTTTTAGCGAAATCAACCAAAATTGGAATTAGGATGAACGAGACGTCGGAAGTGTCTACCGACAAAGGGAATGTGGTAGCCCGCGATAAGATCTTACTGATGGTCGAGTCAAAACTTCCAACGCGAATTCCGGGAAGTCGGAAGTGGGTACCGACAAAGGGAATGTGGTAGACTTCGAGAAGATCTTATTGATGGTGGAGTAAAAACTGGATAATAGAATACTGATCTGTTACACAAAAATGCGCTTCAGTCCCTTCAATCTTACTCGCGGCCAGTTGCACAAAAAAAATCCAGGATCATTATTTAATCCGGTATTACGACATTTGATTGGCTTTATACTGCAGTATGCAACCAATCAAATGTCAGAATTCTTTTTTAAACTCAGATTTGGCAAATAATGTAGGATTTTGATTATAATTCGCTTTCCTGCAACGGGCCGTCAAGGTATATGTACTGTAACAACATATGACCCAAGTGTGGACGTACGGCCCACACTAATCTCCGCGTAAAATATTTGGCCCTTCCACAACAAAAGCTTGCCCTGCACTAGGCTATTGTTGAAAATCAAATATTTTACATTCTTTTCCCAACAAAAACACCCACTTTTTTGTTCTCTTATCTCATTCCGTAAAAATTTAGTATGGCGTACATAAGAAATAAGAAAGAAGTAGCCTATAGCTTCCACATAGGTATAGCGTGTTATGGAAATTCTGACAAAAGATTCGGATTCTCTGAAAAGGACAGGACTCTATACATATACGAGGTTAGTGGGTTTGGTGTCTATTGTAAGATGGGGGTCCGATAATATTTGTGATGTCGACAAAATTTGGTGGGAGAGGAGCAACATCAAAATAACGAATCCGAAAATTCGAAACACATTCCAACCGCAATTCCTGCTGTGATTTCTAAGAATGTCATGAAATTTGATGGATACACTCGATGCGTTAACAAAAAAAATGTCGGAACGCTTTTTTTATTTGAGTTTAAAAGGATGATTCGCATTTTATCGTTGAAATAAATTAAGAATGTTGAAAGATATGCTCATTTTGTCAAAAAGTGCACGCACATGCGTAAATCGAATGTACTGGGTGGTCCATATTGGAAGGAAAGAGTTAAAAAAATGGACCTAGTTGTCTGGAGCACATATAGAATCTCTACTCGTTTGGCCGCTAGGGCATACCTACTTCTCGAACTTAGTCGATTTCTTTAATGCCCCATAACTTTCTTATAACTAAAAAATTAAAAATTTTTCTTAGAGTACTTTAATGCAAAATCAATCGCGATACAGTTTTTATACAGGGTGTTTGGTTTTTTTATACGACCCTAAACTACATTTTTTTATATGGACCACCCTATACATTTTGGGAGTCCGTTGCTTGTGGCACACACTGCACATTTTCTGCACAATTCCTTCACATATTCTTTGCAGTTCACCCAGTAGAATCCTTCCCGCACCTTAACCAGGGTTTTCATAATTCCTAGATGGCATCCTGATATACCATCGTGCATTTGTTGTAGTACTTCATTCTTTTTTGGCTCTCCGCTGCACCCTGATGGTTATGCCATTATCACTTTTTAGAACACTCTTCTGAGCACCATCTTCTAACCTCAACAAGTCTCCCTGAGACCAATACGCTTTTAGAACTGGATCGTATGGAGATACCTCTTCCCAGGTGGACCCATTCTCTTACCATTTTAAATCACGTTCATCTTCTTGAGCCTTCCGGGGTCCTTGCGGTGCCCAAACCATCACCCACAAGTACCATGCATCGTGCATCTTCGTGCTTCAATGATGTGGCTTGGACGCTAGGATGACAGTCTCCGGGGCTCAATTTGCTAGCTCCTTCCCTTTGATCCGTTCTAGTATTGCCTGTTTATAGGTCAGTCTACTGTACAATTTCCTCTAATGTGTCCGTTTTTATCGCAGTCCTCGTCGTTTCGTCCATTTCTCCAACTGCTCCAACTCCTCTAATCTCATATTTCTTTTATTTTTTTGTTCCTTTCTTCTATAGTCGCGCCAGCTCAAAGCTTGCCGCGTTTCTCCGTCGCGAACACCATCGATGAACGTCTGCACCGCCAGCTGTTGTATAAAGCTTTCTGGAGCCGTAGGAGGTCAATATTATCAAACGGTCTTTATCAGCTTGGAGCGCGGCTTGGACTTCTTGCAAAGTTTCTCCTGATTTTTGCGTTCGGTTCTTTAATTGGGCGTAATACAAGTGCTGTAAATGTTTATCTCCATATCGAGCTTCAAACAGTGCGGAGCTGGGTCGAGCGTTCTAAAAAACCGCTCGAGCGACGAGCACTCTTATTTTATCAAAAATGCTCGCGAGCGTCGAGTTTTGCCAAGTGAGTTCTGAGCACTCGCTAAAAGTGCTCGAGCGGTTTATCGCGAGCGCTCGGGAAAATGCGCGTGAGCGGAAAAAACGCTCAAGAGCGGAAAAAGCGCTTGGGAGCCAAAAAAAACCACTCGGGAGCGGAAAAAACACTCGCGAGCGGAAAAAACCGATCAGGAGCGGAAAAAGCGCTCGGGAGCGGAAAAACCCGCTCGCGAGCGGAAAAAGCACTCGCGAGCGAAAAAAGAGCTTGCGAGCGGAAAAAAACGCTCATGAGCGGAAAAACCGCTCATCGGCAGAAAAAAGCGCCGAGCACTTTAAGTAAACGCTCGAAAGCGGTCGCTCGGAAAAGTGCTCGCAAGCGTTGCGCTTGGAGCGGAACGCTCGCGAGGAGTACCCAGCTCTGAAACGGTGATACAATTTCTTCAAATTCCTTTTGCTGATGTTCCGGAATCGCACACAAAACATCTAGCGCAACTATCAGAAAAATTGCCTCCTCTTCCACCGTCAATTTACTTAGAGCAGCGGCGGCCTCGAACTGTCTCAGGTAGGTGGACCACGGTTATTTTCCATCCAATACTTACATACGGTTCGGGAGCTTTGCGGGACCATTGTGGAACAGCAAGTATATTTTGTATTATTACAGATTCCACATCACTCTTTTTGCGTTCTTCATTCAATAACAGAAATTGTTTTCGTAGTTCGTCGATTTCAGTTTCATTTTCTATCGTATGAATTTTATCTTGTACACTCTGTATCTCATCTTGAATCATAGTTCTTGTTGGCCTACTTCGATTTTGGCTTCCATTGTTTGTTGATCGGCTTTCCTTTCTTGCATTAATTGCAGAAGTTGCTTCATTTTTTTAAATGTAGATCTGGTACTGGCATACACTTCCACTAATTGTTTACTTAAACACAACCCCACACCAGACACCAGTGTAACGTAAATTTAATTACGTCGTTTATTTATTTACAAATTATTAACAATAACTAACAGTGCGAACTATTTATTACTTCGGCGTCGTAATTGGAACTGCCGTGTATCGCAATCCGATTTGCTTATATAACAAAACACCGTCTTTCTCGGTAGTTGTCGGTTGCTTCCGGACACTTCCTAGTTTTTCTAGAATCTCGAACAAATACCTATGTTATATTTCTCGGAAAGATTACGTCTCATCCGCCTTCGCGCCTCGAGATACACATGTCTGAGTTCTGCGTGTAGTGGGCTGGCTAGCAGCTACCATTGACTATTTCAAAATAAATAAATCACCATACATTTGCAATAGAAGAGGAAACCCAATTAAAATATCTCTAGACTTTTACAATTATTTTGTAAATAACGATTGCATAATATCTGCTATCAGGATATTTTTATTAACGCTATCACTCCAGAATTATAAATAAATTATTCTTTTCATTACAGATAATGTCGACCATAGTAAGCAAATTGAAGAAAAGTGTGAAGATATTGCTGTGCAACGTCGAACGAAAGTGTCCAGTATTTCACTCAACATTCCAGCGGCGGGCTTGGGTAACCGCCCCCCATCACTCGTCAGTACATCCACCTTAGATGAGGGGGGCTTTAACGAACCGTACCCCGAAATTAAAGCCAAACTAAAACCTTTCGGCGATCGAGACGACCAGGAAGAGCACACCGAGACTGAATCGAGCAGCTCCACACCGCTAGATGCAAAATCGAGACTCCAGGAGATAGAAGCGCTATACGCTGTTCCCCACAAACCGACACAACAAAAATCGGCGCCGACGACGAGCTCGGAGCTCACGCATCAGAAGTCGACCGACTCGGACGTTTCCCAAGTGACTGTCATACAGCAAAAGTCGATCGACTCCGATGTGATGTACCACAACGTCACGAAATCCCTCTCGAATTCGACGCTCGCGAAACTGGAAAGCCAGGAGAGTTACGAGAGGGCCTGTCGGGAATTCTTGCGGCGCGAGAGAGATTTCGCGAGCGAAACTGTAAATACTACCGATCTAAATGTAAATTGCAAGACTGATTCGGAATTAAGCGAAAGTAGGTTAGGTAGCAATCTGATATTAAACTTACAGCAGGAAATTAAGTCTGAAGCTAGCATACTAGATTTAAATGACGTCGAATTCGCCGACGCCAGCGACGAAGAAATCGAACCGGTTTACTCGGATATAAAGGAGCTGGTCGCGGATACGATGACACCGGACGAGGCCGAAAATTTACTTAGTTCAAAGTGAGTGAACTTTGTTTCTTCGGTTGCCTAAGCTTTCATTCTTTGATACTGTATGTAGAAGGCACTATTTTTTTTATGATTATCTTAGTATTTTGATCTATTAATTTGCTTTTTTCTGCATGTTTCGCTTGGATCCAGCAGAATTTTGGAAAAGAGAATTCGGTAAGTAAAGATTATGCATATTTTATTCTTTGCTTTGCGCCTTGTGAACTTTATTAATGTGCCATACCTCGAACGGTTTTATGTTCCTTATGCTTCAACGCATGTGTAATGTTTCGTATGACTGATTTTGATTTATGCATGCGTTTAATGCTGTTAATTATATGTTTCGTTAATTTAATAAAACTAAGTAGTGTTAGACAATTGTAACAAAGAGTTAATGGTTGTGCCGCTTTTGTACGTAGTTCTACACAGTAATCATAAAATATTGAGTGATCTTTTATTTCGTCTCATTAACAATAGCGGAACTAACGGTTTTACATGGGTTTTTGGTTATACTGTGTCTAATTTTGTAAAAAGAAGTTTCTAAGGACGGACGCATCCGTAGGCTGGGCTGAGAAAAAATCATGTATAAAATTTGGTATTTGGGGGTCTAGTCTAAACGTGTCTGTATGAAATTTCTTGAAGTATGTGTGAAATTTTTGGATATTATACGGAAATCTAAGAGGATTTCAGATTAAAATCCCTTGTATGTACCTAATCTCTATATTACCATTTGTTAAAAATAAAAACGCTTTTTTGTAAATATTGCTGTGGCCCTTTAATTTCTGGCCACATACAAAACACCTCATACATAAATAACTAGTTTCAATGAAATTTCTCTCATTACATATCCGCATCCTGGCACAACACCTTTGGGCGCGGATCAATAAAACTAATCTTAATTGAGTATGAGATATCTCTCTGAATTGTTAATGGGATCGAACAAACACACGACTTGCACGATTTTATATAAACAAAATTTGTTCTGCAACCATAAAATAAACATAAAATCATATTTAACAAAATTGGACCACAGCGTCCGAATAAACAAATCGCGCATATGCGTTATCGATTACAAATTAAACAAATATCAGGAAATCTGATGATTACTTACAGTTTTCAAGTTACAAAACACTAATTACTAATGGAAACAATGGACTTAACCGAAATGTGACGCACAAAAACTTGGTCTTCTTAATTCAATTCTCCAAACAGGTTGTAGAGCCATTGATTATGATATCTTGCTGAACGCAAAAATACGCCACCGATGACTCGAACGGCTGTCCGTTTAAGGCGAGACCCTCAATGAAACTGCTATTCCCAATTTGGGAAACAAGGCCACTAGCAGAGCTTTATCACCCACCAAACGTAGAGACGCGTGTCTTTTCAACTTTCAAAACAGCCACTCAGCCTCGCAATTGATAAAAGGCTTCTTCAAAGGATTGCAACTCGGACTCGAATTTGACGAAAAAGTTCTCTTCTAATGAACGGCACCCCGGCCTCACAATTAATAAAAGTCCTCGATTTTAAGCCGTTTCCAGTATTTAAACGGGCTTCCCTCCTTAGACAGCATCGAAATTTCTTAACCAATCAACAACTTAAAAAGCCACCATATCTCTAGACAATTACATTAATCTTTTACAAAATAAACGAAAACCCAATAAATCAAGTTGGAGCTGTCACAAATGCATTAACAAAACAAAAATTGATTACAGAAATCTTTTATGTTTATTCGTAAGTCTCACGAAATTGATTAACATGAGTTGTAATGAGCATATGAGTAATAATTAAAATACCTGCATTCACTTCATCTGCTTAGACCTAAACCTCAACGTCCCAGACCGATACAGCAATATGGATGAAGTTTGTTATGAGTGGTTATACAGAAGGAATATGTAAATGACATAAATTGGGCGAATAAAACAGAAATTTCACCCAATTAATGAAAGCTTTCGTTTGGAAGCTATGCCTCCAAGACATACGCCATTTCTAGCGTGTTTGAGGGGTTTGACAGAGCCCAATCAATTCCAGAAAAACCTACAAGAATCGCAAAAGAACCTAGAAAATTATGGATTTTCAATATATGTAAAAGTATTAAAAAGCTCCCAAGAAGCTCTGGAACAAGGGTACAAAATCGTAGAAAGTTTTATAAACACCCTGGAAAATATTAAGACTTCCCAGGGACTCCCATTCCCAGACTTTCCAAAGTATAAATAGTCTTTCCAGTTAGTTTGACTTTTTAGAGAATTTCATAGGCCTTCTCAAGTGCTTTTTAGACTCTTTTTTCGGATATAGATAGTCGGCATTGGTCGTGTGACAAACTGTATAATATGCGACAGTATTATACAAATTCATTACTTGTGCCTTGCCCTTCCTTTGACCCTTGTCTGCTACTCAATCGCGAATGAGAGACTAGTAACCTTGTCCATTTCAACTACATTTCTTGGTAGGACAAAGAAAATAAATATCTGTAATATTAAAATAATTTGGATTAGTTATTTGGATTTTGACAACCTTAAGTATCAATTTTGGACGAGTTGAGACATCCAGGAGTAGAAATTTTGGAATTATTGTAATATATTTATTTTTTCAAAAAAGAACCCGAACTTTGGGGCATTTAGGAAAGTTGCTCTTAAATTTATTGACTTGTGATTTGCAACAATACTTTCTGCGATTGTGATTTGTAATTTAAATAATGATTAGCCGTATCTTCATGCATTCATATATTCGAAATGTTTTAAAAGTCTAAACGAATCCAAGCAGATTATCTGAAATTCCAATAAGTCAGGGATAATAAACGCTAAAGATTTAGATCATTGATTTGAATGTATTAGTTGCAAATTCATTCTTGTAAGTAAAATAAAAACGGTTCATTTCATTTCAGTTATAAAAGAAAACGTTAATTTATTATTAGGTAGGATAGGCGGATACAAAAAAAATAATGCTAATTTGATGGGCAGTTCAGTTCAGTAACCACTTAAACTTTTTGTGTTCAGATCATTTAAATTTATCATTCATTCATTCCTTCATTCATATTCTCTTTTTAATTAATTTTTTATTTCTATGGTAATTAAGGATCATCATTAGTTTGTTATGTGTCTGTTAAATTTAGTCAAGATGTACATTACAGCACTTTGATTCAGTATTATTTTGTTTCGTAGTCTTTAAAATTTAAATATTTTCTTGTCAATAGTCGCTTGTTGTCCTACTGAATTATTTAATGTAAGCATTTACATTTTTATCCTATCTTTCTTGGTGTTCTGTTTTTAATACAGTACATACATAGTGTTTCAGGTCGAAAATCACAGTTTTTTCGAAAATGTATGGTACATTTCAAGCAACGAACATTTTGCGCCATTAGAATAAGAAGTTGGGCCTTAATTGGAAGCAAGTTAATTATTGAAAACTGTAAATCTGCTTTGCAAACTTTACCCGTAGATTTTTTTACATGCAGTGATCATGATCACCTTGTGCAGTAGCGTAACTTACATAACCCCAGATTTCCTGAAAAAGTTCAATAAAAGATCTTTTGCACAGTTTAAATCAATGCTCAGCGTGAACTGAGTACAGTTGAGGCCGGGACATTTCGCCGAATGCCCACAACGCCGATACGTTTTTTGAAGGTCCATATCGCCGACCAGGGACACTACGCCGACGGACACTACGCCGACCGTGCCCACATCGCCGACAAGTGAACAAGGGACACTAAGCCGAACGTGACCATAACGTCGACTCGTACAACACTTCTTAATCAAGCTGGACGGTGTGCAACACCAAGTAGCTTTTGACGTTAGGTTATTGTAGGTTCAGAATATTTTTTTTAACTTTTTTCGAACTACAGACTCATACGAAAATTCTTAATCAAACTGGACGGAGTGTGAAGCAAAGCAGCTTTGGATATTAGGTTATTTGTAGGTTTAGGACATGTTTTTTAAACTTTTTAAAATGCAAACTCATACACTGGACAGAGTATGAGGGGCCTGGATTTTCGAACAGTCGGCGTTGTGGTCACGTTCGGCTTAGTGTCCCTTGCACACGTTTCGGCGATGTGGGCACGGTCGGCGTAGTGTCCGTCGGCGTAGTCTCCCTAGTCGGCGATATGGACCTTCAAAAAATCGTGTCGGCGTTGTGGGCATTCGGCGAAGTGTCCTAGACCCGTACAGTTTTGCGCAGCTGGAATGCAAAGTGTGTCTAATGCACACTGAAAACAGACCATATTTTCATTAAAAATTCAAGATGACGGCCGCCATCAAAATTTGGATAATAAAGAAAGATTACATAACATGCATAACAATATCTCATTGTTCTCCAAACTGTGAATCAATATCCCAGCAGGAGAGCCTTATTACAGCCTTTACAGCAACCCTGTAGATTTTTTCGTATCTATTACGGTTTCCTTACGTTTTGAAAGAAAAATGCGCGAACATGATTTTGGTAAGAAAACTCCATAACACTTTACTAGTGGAAGTGTGATAGATTGAGCTAATTTCTTCCTGTCTCTCTTACACGGTATTGACCATAAACTGGATTCACTTTGTGCATCTCTTTATTTTAGACTGTGGCGTCATCCGAGAGGAACATGTGGTAAAAAATCGTTCAATGATCTGGTTGATATAAGTTGATCGTCTCAGCAGCGTCAGTGGGCTATAATTCTTGAATCAACTGTACCTTGTTGGGGGTGTAGACAAAACCCCATATCATAATCATGGCAGAATTATTGTTTTTGTCAAACTCAGACATGCATCTCACTAGATTTTTTCACCAGCCAATCCGACACATTTCCCGCGCTCTAGGCGGGCTCAAATAAGCAATCGTGTGTGGGGTTGGCGGCCATAGTCTGGCTGCCGCTGCCTAGTACGTTACTGGTCTTAATGTCCGCATATTGATAAGAGATGATGTACAATGTTGCCAGATCAATTACAGTGTGGGGTTGAGATTTGTAGGATAGCATCCTTAGGGAATATGTGTGGCGTATGGCTATTCCCCACAGGTCCCTCAGTATAGGGGCTGAAAGGATAAAGAAGTTCGTGTAATACTCCAATTTTGAGTATGTTTGCCAATTTTTTTCATTGGTTTTGCTTCAGAAGCGTCAACTAAAGCTTAATGGCCATATTCTCCCCTTCACCCTTACCACCTTCAGTATCCCACGCCAAACGAACTTTAAGGTGCATCCGCGCTTTTGCCTTCAATCGTCCAAAGCGGTGGTCTATGGGAAGAGTATCCCCTAAAGGTGACTCATTTCTAATCAATATGGCGTCTTTTTACCATCTTTTCTGAAAAGGGACCTTTCTTTTGGTAATAATTGGAATTTGTATTATTTTTGTTCTTAATCGCGAACTACTTCAAAGTTATTTTGTCCAGATGACATCTTTACAAATTAGAAGACGGGGTGTTTCAAAAAAGGATGGTACCTCGGGTGGTACTATGATGCAAAAATGACTAATGGTTTGGATTGACTCCAATTTAAGGTGTAGGGAATTCCCATTGGAACAATTGTAACAATCTCCATTAACGTCCTAATCTCACAGTGTGCATTTGCGACCTTTTACACAAAAGCTGACTAGTGCCCGGTTTCACAAACGATGATCAGCGCTAATCAATGATTAAAAAATTAGAATGGTACACCCGTGACCTCATAATCAAATGTAGCGTAACATTCTAATATTTTTTTTTAATGATTAACCTTAATCATCGTTTGTGAAACCGGGCGTAGGTAAATTAATATGAAGCAATTGTTTGTTATGGAGATTTACGATAATTCACCCGTTATAACCGGGTACCAATAAGTGTAACCATAGCAATATCTACCAACCTAGGTAAACCGGTTGAATTATTGTAAAGGCGCAAAGTATCTTTGACATTTTCTGCTAGCAAACCTCTTTGATGTAAACTCGAAGCTATTCAATTTTTGTTTTTTCATCTATTTAGATCAGCTTTTGCATAAAAGCTATGTGATAAAAATTTAAAGTTGCATTTATTGGGGAATAGTGTAAAGTAAAATTGCAGGAAAATCAGTCATCGAATTTGGCTGAATTTTATTTACCTAATCGATCTACAATGAATCTGAATAACTTGAGTTTAATAGACAAAACGGGGCATTTGAGCCGCCAATATTCTTGGATCAGTTGAACAACTTTTTCTCAAAAAAATGCAAGGCTGAATTTTTGCGGACCATGGCGTAAGGTACTTCAACAGATGAACCTTCTAAAACACTTACAGCCAGTATCATAAAGCATACTTAACTATATAGGCTAACAATGCTGCAAGGCACGTGATGTTTTTATCGAAAAACATCCAATCAGTATGCTTTATAATACCGACCGTTAACGCCACCTAATGTCAAATATGACAAATTGTACAGAAGAGAGCGGAATTGGGTTACTGTTACCTTTTCAAATTGACATTTTAGAGTGTAATATCGTTTTTAGGCAAGAACTCTTATCCGATGAAGAAGCTCAGGAGGTAACTCGACTACTAAGTCCAATTGAAGTGCAAGAAAATCACTGGCACCCAAATACATCCAGTTCGTTTCTTCAAGAGCCGACATCAGGCCCAAACTCACTGTTGGACTCCATCGGACCACACTCGCTAAACGACAGCCTAGTCCAGTCATCTTTACTGGAGGATTCGCACACGGAGTCCGTCGCGGACGGATACGACGATTTAATTCCACAAACGCACCCCTATTCGACAGGACTTACAAAAGAGTCTTTGTCCAGCATCGATGTTTCGAGTTACGATGAAGGGGTCTCATCTAAAATGGAGTCGAGCGTCTCCGATTCAGGTTTAATTGGTACGATTTCGCGTCATTTAAACGTGGCACGTTTCAAACGCAAGGTTTTAGATTCGGTTACAAGTATTTCCGATGGAAATGCGGAAAACTGCAAGGATTTCAGACCGGAACGCGTTAAAATCGTTGGTATCGAGCACGGCGTGCATTACTACGAGGACGGGCACTTCTTCATGGAAGTTCCAGGTCTGCCGCAGGAGGACGATGACGACGATCTCGATTTTCCAGTCTACGTGCGTAAACCTTCCAAGGTGTCGTTTTCGACGGGGCCAATTACAGTCTATTCCACCTTCAGTATTAGCGAATACGATCGACGGTAAGGCTTCTTAGACGTCTTCCTTGTTATTAATGCTAAGGTTAGGAATGAGGATGTTGATCCGGTTGCGGCATCTGCAGAGTACGAATTGGAGAAGCGTGTCGAAAAGATGGACGTTTTTCCGGTTGAATTGGTTAAAGGTCCAGAGGGACTTGGGTTAAGTATAATTGGAATGGGAGTGGGGGCTGACGCTGGATTAGAGAAACTTGGTAACTAGGCTCATTTTTAATTGATAAACCTAACGTTGAGGATTTAGGGATTTTTGTGAAAACTATCACGTCGAATGGTGCAGCGGCTCGCGACGGGCGCATTCATGTGAATGATCAAATTATTGAAGTAGACGGAAAGAGTTTAGTTGGCGTAACCCAAGCATATGCAGCAAGTGTCTTGAGGAACACGTCCGGCTTGGTAAAATTCAGTATTGGTAGAGAAAAAGATCCCGAAAATAGTGAGGTTGCTCAACTGATTAAACAGTCATTATTGGCTGACAAAGAGAGGGAAGAAAGGCGCCAACGGATACTCGAAGCTGAACAGCAAAATGACGCTTCCACACTAATGATGGGTAACATCAATTGCAACATTTTCCGAGTATAACTCAAATCATTTTCAGGTTCCGCCCACAGCAGCATTTCTGATGGTACTGTGAGCTCATCTTCGAATAACGAGACCACCTACGAACACGAAGGACAAGATATTAACGATATTGAATCTTTACGATTGCTGCTACAGGAGGTAACTATACCTTAATTTTCTTTTGTTTTGTGTAACGAGTCTAACATTTGTTTTTGCACCTGTTTTATTAATTGCCTGATTTGTATGAAATGTGTTTTGTGACACAGAGTCAGCGGAAGCTTAACTCTTCTGAACTTGAAGTTGCACGACTAAAATTGAAGGTATGTCTTAATCAGTGGTAAATGTAGTACTAACACGCATTTATGAATCAAATAACAATCACTTTAGTTTGTTTTTTGTCATCGTAAGATGTTCACACTTTTATGTTACATTAACAGCATTAGATATTCGTCACTTTCGAAAAAAGTTGCGTCAATTAAAATGGTATGTTAAGATTATTCGCAGCTCTTAACTCCGTAAGATGCGTATCCACTACCCTATATATCTATCAATTATGATTTTATTGCAATGCGGATTTTCGTTTAGTCAAGTGTCAAGCGGATAAAGAACCAATGGCACACGAGTTAAATACAAACTTTTATCCAAAACCTCTCAATGAGAAAGTTATCACTATTATTTGCAGCTCGAACCCGGTAAGATGCGTATCCACTACCCTATATATCTATCAATTATGATTTTATTTCATTGCGGATTTTCGTTTAGTCCAGTGTCACGTGGATAAAGAACCAATGGCACACGAGTTAAATACAAAATTTTATCCAAAACCTCTCAATGAGACTAGGGCTAGGATTTTAATGACGTTAAAAATCAGCGAAAATGCAAAATAAAAAATGTAATTATGACTTAAAATCTCGCAAAAATGACAAAAATTTAAAAAGATGGCATTTTAAATAAGAAATAAATTTATTGATGAAACTGAATAAGACCGCAAAATTATGTTAAGAAACAATTAGGTAAGATAAGACAGGAATTTCATTGGTGGTCCATTTCCACCCTCTGCAGGTCAGTTGTAGAAACTAGGTATGTAAGGTACTGACTCACTTACCGCATCTCAAAGAAATTTAATCCCTTAGTGGGTATTCGTTTGTGGATGACTTAAACACGTTCCAAGAAAACGTTAACTATGCATTAGCTTATAATGGAGGTTTTAGGCTTCATTTCTAAACAGGTAAAGATACCCGGATCTACCGAGAAAAGAAAAATATTGCATTGTGTTTTAGAAATCTGCAGAAGACCATGAAAAATAAAACGTTAACAAAGGTTTATAAGTTCGCCAAGAGAAATACCGTAATATATAAAAAAAAATTAGCGCTATTCCTGAAAAATGCAAAAAAAAGTAAGACACAAAAACTCCAAAAAATGCTAAAAATATCGTAAAAATTAGCAAAAAAGGACCCATTCCTCAAAAATGGCAAAGAATGCAAAAAAATGCACCAAGTAGCTGTCATTTGATTCACTTTATCCTGAAACAGGTTTATATATAACAGCAATGTCTCACACTTTCAGAAAAAAAAGATACAAAATCATCAAAATCCTAGCCCTAGTTATATCACTATTATTCGCCGCTCTAATCCGGTAAGATGCGTATCCACTACCCTATATATCTATCAATTATGATTTTATTTCATTGCGGATATTTTGTTTAGTCAAGTGTCAAGTGGATAAAGAACCAATGGCACCGGCACACAAGTTAAATACAAATTTTTATCCAAAACCTCTCAATGAGAAAGTTATCAGTATTAAAACCTGATGTTTGTTGCAATTGGTCGTGACTGTTAAGGACCATAACTGACGCGCGAAGGCGGGAACGAGACGGACTCGGGAGAGATTTGTACAGCTGGATATGCAAGCATAACCCATGCGAACCGCCGCATCGGTATGCATAGCATATCCCTCTGTACAAATATATACCTACCGCGTTCGTCCCGCTTCCGTTCCCGCATTCCCGCGTCGGTTTCAGTGGATTTTAATGTAACATACAATCATTACCTACATGAAACAAATCCAATGCGCTTAGGACGAGGTTTCTATGGAGTCGTTATTTTTTTGAGTAATGAAAATATCCACTATAAACGCGTTGCCAGGTACAAGCAGGTAAACATAAGTTATTATTGAACTTTTTATGAAATGGGAGGTTATTTTATTCTCTGTTCGACAGTATTACGTTGCCTTTTGAAAAATGTGACATGCCCTATTGGTTGTCTAGATTTTTAATCTTTAGTTTTAAGCGCGCGCGTGCGAGTGATCTAGAAGGATTGCGTGCGCAACTCCATGCGTCTGGCAAGGATACAGCGACCTGGTCTGAATCATCACTTAAAGTGTTTGGTCCTCCTATCAAATGGTACATAAACTTATACAGCTGATTAGGAATTTCGCATTCTCCATTTAGCACATCTTTTATGGTTAAACGACTCGGCAGCTTTGGAGAGGGAATACTTTTAACACAAATGCCCCAAATCATATGCTACTTCTTAAAATTTACTGTCCTCTTTTGCTTCTACTTTCACGGCTTCATTTGCCAATGTTGATATGTCCATGTCATTCAAGTATATAATCCTTTTATTATGCGGTCTAGTAGATGTTTCAATAGTGAGTCGATCACTAAAATCTTTAGCTACTTTATTATTTAATTTTTTCAAACAGTTTTCTTTGTTGTAATTCCCGTGCGTCGCATGAATTATCTTCATCTCCCCTTTACTTGCGATTACTGCGCGAATAAGAGGTAAAGTTTCCAAAGGAATTGACTTACGAACACGTTTTTTTGTAGTAGCGGACGGTGTCTTTTATTGCGTGGAGTCTGCACGATTACAAGATTTTCGAACTCGCACAAAGGAATACGCATAAATATCTCTTGGCGTAATTTTTTCGTAACAAACTTTAATTTTTTATGAACTGGCACTGGCGATTGCAACTTATACACTCGATTTACGCTGAGTATTGAACGGAACTACAATTGGTGATACTCGACACGGAGTTATAACGATCTAGATGCTTATCCATTACCCTCCATACCCATTAATTCGAGATCATCACTGCATTTAACTTTCAATTGTTTCACCATTGTTTTCGCTTCACACTCCGTTTTTTGTTGTTTTGCCATTGGGCTAAATTTCGTTTTATTTCAAAAGGCGAAAAAAGCAAAAAGAACTTTAGGCTATGGAGATATCGATCGATCGAATCCATATTTTTGTGAATTTGTAAGAGAAGATTGGTTTTTCGAGAATAATATTTAATATTGCGTCTAAACTAACTCACTTTTTGAATTCCGTTTTTTTTACTTATATTTTTTCATATCACTGTATGTAAAAATTATTCAAAGCTGTAACCAAGCAAGATGCTTACCTATTGCCTTATGTATCTGTCAAATTTGATTGTGAATTTTTGGTGCAAGTAATTTGAAAATTTTTTTCGGACTGCACCATTTTAATTGATGGAATTTTTAATCCATTTATTTTGATTTAAAATCGTGGTATACACGTTATCAGTATCATTTTGCATGCATGCTTGACAAAATAATGTGAGTTGATATGCCAAGTGATCCCAAATTTTTGAATTAGTTCTTAGTGCAAAATTATTGGGTCATTTGGTAGCCATTGTGTACATTAAAATTACAATATATCAAATTTATGTAGCTAATGGAACAGAATGGAATCGATGATAGTTCAGACAAGTTGAAACAGACCCATCAAAAACTAAAAGAAGCCGAAAATAAATTGAACGTTTCGAGAAAGGAAGTCATCACATATCAGAATATGCTGGAACAGTCTCAAGGCCAGTACGTAGTGCTCGAAAAGAAATACACCAAAGCAAAACGCATCGTTCGCGAATTTCAGCAGCGAGAGTTGGATATGATTCACAGGGAAGAATTTTATCAGCAGCTCTTGCAGGAGAAGGATACAGAGTATAATTCGTTAGTCAAAAATCTTAAAGATCGAATAATCGCGCTGGAACAGGATTTACTGGATACGCAACAGAAGGCGGGGGTCCCCGTTGGTTTACCGTACGATAGCATCTCACTCAAGCAACTCACGCCGCAATTGATGAGGCGGCAACCTCCCAAGCCGCTTTTTCAAACTTTAGACGCCGAATTATCCGACACCGAAATATCGGATACAAGTCCGGAAGATGGCGACAAGACCGCTACGGTCGAACGAAAGTTGCCAATTAAAGAAGAGTTCGATAAAGCAGTGCCCCCTCACGAACTTCTAGACATATCGGCTAGTAAAAGTAAAGCGGAGCTGGCAAACAGAGGCGCCTTGGCGAATAGGCAGCTACCAAGTGGTAAAAAAGGATCTCTTAGTAACAGTAGCTCAGACTACGGTCTCGATGAGAGTTACAATTCGACAGACGATCTCTCGGAGATTGGTTCCCTAAATCAAAATGATGGTTATACGTCCGAAACAAAATATAATAATAGTGTCATAAGGCCTAGCACGTTAAGCACAGAGCAGTCGCAGTGCAATAACTCCCAAAGTGCAATTTATAGTGTGCAAAACCATTACGGATATTCACAAAATAGTGTTCAGTATACAAATCAGCAAACCTCACAGTACAATTCACAGAATCAAACATATAGTGTACAGCAAAATAATCAGCATATGAATACAAATGTTTTGTATGCCAGAGTACAAAAGGGTACCACTCACCAGCACCAAAGTAGTCCGGATCCTTGGCTAGGAGTTCCGAATAAGAGTGCGAGTTTAGGGTTTTGTCCGCCGCCGTCGCTTGCGGAGCAGTTAAAGCAAGTAAGTATTAATCAATTTCATTTAAGGTAGTAATACCATTTGGTATATGGAATGAGCGCGGTTCAGCATAGGCTCAATGTGAAAAACAAGTGCTTTTAGGCGATCAAGACAGTATTGTTGCACTGTCTCAGAAGGTGTAAAATGTGATCTGTTATTATTTTAGGTACTGGCCGAAAGAGAGAAACGAATAGGTAGCGAGAGCGTGAGCAATTCGACGGACGATTTGAGCGAAAAAAACAAAACGGCGCAACACTTACTAGAGGAGATAAGGCAAGCAGTAAGCGAAGCGAATGCTCGGGGTGAGTTGCTTGTCCGCTGGGCAAAGTAGTTGCTTGAGAAAGTCAATTTTTATTCCAGTGAAAAAAGTTGTGCCAGTAACACTATCACCCCCAGGTACGACGCCTTGGCAACAGCAGGGCGCTACGTCGCCCACGCCGCCGTCGCCCTCCAGTTTATCGTCGGGTTCGGTTTCTCCTTCTAGACATGATTCGTCGTGGACACATCCCTCTGATCTCAGTTTATCTTGTTCGAGTATTAGTAGCGAGAAGCGAGGCTCACATTTTTGGCAATCCGCTCCGGTTTCAGAGTGGAGCAAAGAACAGGTGAGTTGCTCGAAATCGGGGCACATGTAGGTTATGATGTTTCTGACTTTTAAATTTTCTTGAAAAAAACTTTAAAGCCTGAAAAATCATAAACATCCGGAATAACGCATGACTTTGATGTCATAACCTGAAAACGCGTGTCGCCGAATTACTATGCACAAAGAATTATTGTGAAACGAAAAGTAAAACAATTATAAGTTGATGTTCCTGCCATTTACCATGAGGCAAAAATGTGTGTACCTCATGCCAGGTACTTTTTGCGCATTCAAGTTGATCAGAAAAAAAAATGGCTCAACTCTCTGTCACTTGATTTTTGCCTGGTAAAATGATGTGCCCTGATTTGTGAAAAAGTGAAATGTTGTGCCTCACATGTTGATTGTTTTTTAATGTTGTAGTAGAATGGATAACCCTAAACAACAGAAGCATCTTTATAATTATTTTGGGGTGGTTAAAAGGAGAGCAAGGAAAGGATAAGACTTAAAGAAAGTGTTCGTTGGATTCCGAATTTAGATAAAAGGCTGGTCCAAAGTCCATTGCTCAGTTAGGCTTTATTTGAATTATATCTCTTGATTATGAGTTGCCCATTCCTAAATGCCTCCAAGCCACCTCACACTTGATTCATATTTATGAATGTAAGAAGGGAAAGCATTTCTCTTCTTGTTTCAGCCGCAATGCAGGGCAGCTTATAATATAGTAAATATTAGTAAATTATAAGTAACAGTGATTGTAACCATGTAATATGGATTTTTTGATATTAACAAAATAACTAGAACGGAACGTGGCAACAGGAGCACTGTTCCCAGTTATAAAAGTGCACACCCGATCAGGAATAGCTGCAAGGACACTATTAAGCATAGCAACAGTAGGTTTTGACCCATAAAGTGTGGTAAGGGAAGCTGAACATTTGAGATTCTGTCAGTATATTGAAATAGGACCAGTTCAAGCTGATGGTGGCTCTGGACAGTAGACCAAGTAACGCTTAAAGGTCCTCCTCCCTCTTGCGTAAATTTTAACTTTGAACATACAAATCTCCCATGTTCAATTCTTAAATATACAAGTCAATGCATTGATATGCCTGACAGTTATGCAACCCACCTTACACACAAATTTGACAGCAGTGTAAACAAAAGAAACTTCATTTTAAGAAAGACGCGGTAGAAGGCTTTGACCTTCACTGTGATTGGTTAAGCACGAGTCAGTATTACGCTGCAAAATAAAACGAGTAAGGAATTTTGTAAGATAGTACTTTCTATTGCTAATTAAACTGTTAAACTGTCATTAGCTGTTAACGTCCAAAATCCAAGTGTGAAATCGTGTGATTTATTTCTGTTCGCAGTGCTGGATATTTCTACTTTGGTGCTGTTTTACATTTTTCCTGTGTGTGCTTATCTTCAAACACAGCGCCATCTACTGCCTTCCATGAATGCAGTATAGTAGTTATATACTATTCATCTGATTTGTTTAGTGGATTCGACTTATTAACTGTAAAACTGTCTTTAAAGTAGTTTTATAGTGTCTTTTCAGTTACTGGAACTTTACGCATTTCCTCTGAATTGGCAAATTCAATACAGACATATGTGAAATTTCAAATTCTCTAGCTAAAACGCTAGAATATTTAACTTCATTTGTACAATTAAAGCAGGTTTTTTGTTCTAGTGTAATGTTCATTAAAAATTCAACCATGAACATTAAATTTTTAGCGCATTTTTGCAAATTTATTTGTAAAAATGTAGCTTTTAATCTCACTTTGGCTGGCTGGCTGGTTGGCAGTAAATGCGAGCCCGTAGAAGAACGCTTGTAAAAAGACGAGGAGTGTACATGTACCTAACGGGACCGCGTAATTAACAACTTTAGGGACGGGTGTACATGATGTGGGGTCGACGACATCTGGGCGCCATCCCCGCGCGTGTTATTCTAACCGGGAGATTTTTCAGATCTTTCCTATCTTCTAATACAATTTTTCTCCTATGGTTTTCAAGTAGACATCGTCAGAATGATCTTGTCAACGTCCTAGGGGCGAAATGAACTACCTTTTGCACTGCGCGCTTCGAGGGGTAGTCGACTCTGGGCGCCCGTACGATTCTTAGAGCTCGAATCGCGGTTTCTCTTTCTCATGTCGCCAATAGAAGCTCGGGCTATGAGAAGTTCCCAACAAATGCGTATAATTTTGGCCCGGGTTTTTAGTGGAATCTGGCAAAATGCGAATTGGGAGTGAACGTGACGTCGGAACTGTGTACCGACTTGCAGGTGCATGGGAAGTGAGAAGCGGGTATCGATAAAGTGAATGTGGTAGCCTTCGACAAGATATTATTGATGGTGGAGTCAAAACTGTCTAATAGAATACTGATCTTCCATACAAAAATACAATCCCTTCGATCTCACACGAGGACTGATAATTTTTTTTGGTAATTATATGTGCTGCTTTAGTACGGCCTGCAGCAAAGAAATGGAAGTCTTCATTCATCATACACTGTTTTTGTTTTATATCTTTTGAAAGTAATCAGACCACTTTGTGCCTTGGGTTACTAAAAAGCACTGAATGTATAATAGTGTCTGTGTAGATTGCTATGTGCAATGGCAATGGCAAACTAACTAATTATAATTTTTCCAAGGCACGCTCGACATCCGCTACTAAGAAAAATCTCGATAAGACTTAAATTGACTTCCCTTCTCACATAATCCTGGGCACAAATAGACAAATTTGACATGAGAACTCTTATCTGGATCGTAATTTGGGTTCGATTAAACACACAATAGATCATTTACAAACAAAATAAAATTTATTTAACGTTCACCAATAAATGAGGCATTCAGCGTCTATAGACAGATACCACACAACAAGGGATCGATTGAAACAATTAAAGAAATCTTAATTACCTTCAAGTGTTAGTAATTCAAAACTTCACTTTCTTACTTGCACTTAATTTTCGATTTGGACGACACGGACCTTGTTTTTCTATCAGTAAATATAAATACTTTCAAAAACAAAATAAAGGCATTTTTAACTGAAAAGCCCTTGTACAATATTAAAGATTTTCTTAACATTGACGTTAAATTATACATTTTGATGTTTCTTGAAGTTTACGTTTTATATTTTATGTTTATATGTATTGTTCTGCTTTTATAACGCGTGTAAACATTACTTTTAATGTACTTGCACAATGAATATATTATTAGTACATGTAAAATTTTCTCTTTGATGATGGAAAAAACAACCTTGCATTTAACCGATAAACGCACGAATGACAAAACACACAGACTATTCACTTTTATCATTAATCGCGACGACTTAATTCTCTTGAAACATTCTTAACTTCCTTTCACAAAACCTTACAATTAAAAAGACTGACTGTCTTTTCAAAAAGCTTCGATAACGGTAAAACTGCCAAACACACAAAACAAACTATTAACGATTAGATGAATCGACAATAACCCAATTTTAGAGTTAGAGATAGACATACAATTATCAGAAAATAACAACAAAGTGAATTCGTATGTTTACAATCGCGTATCGCCTAAACGGCTGAAGGAGTAAACAAAATGCAAACACAGTTGAGCACACATGAAAATTTGCTTCAACGCACAGCATTGCCTTTGGTAGGACATTATCAGTCCCCCTCTTCCATAATCTTAACATTCTACCATTCTAACTTTGTACAGGGTGCTCTCCTTTTACTGTACTAGGAAGATGAAGGTTGCAGAAGGTTCATTTTTGTATATAACTTTCGTTCAGATCTTGTGGCAAATTTGGTGTGGGTTTGTCCAAAGCTGTGAACGCCCAACATCAAGTAGAGAGACAGTCAGACAAATATTGCCTTTTATATACAGGGTGGTGACTTGCGTAACGCATCATAGGGATTTCAATGTAAAATTCATAACATGCGATTATTGGCTCCCCAAATTATTTTAGAGCAAAAATGTATTAAGGTTTTTTGTAGAAACAAATTTTTTACGTCAATAAACCGTATTAGTTTTCAATTTTTTGCATAATAAAGACGGAAAATTGGAAAAATAAAACCCCCATCTTTTCAATAATCTGTGATGCCATGGAATTTTATAATAGAAAAAGCTACGCCAATATCCGTCATGCCATGGAATGTCTGCTATAAAACAAATCAAATTCTATCAAAAAGTATTATATTTAGAACAGCGAATTCAACATATAGAAAAACCAAATTACTAAAAACGGTTTCCTAATACAACAATTTACAATAAATGTTCGAATAAGTCCCCATTAAATGCAAGACAGTAACCAAGTCGATCATAAAATCCATTTCGAACGGCTGCTAATTGATAATTGGATATCTTTTTGTTTTAGAAAATTCCATGGCATCACAGATTATTGATAAGATGGGGGTTTTATTTTTCCAATTTTCCGTCTTTATTATGCAAAAAATTGAAAACTAATACGGTTTATTGACGTAAAAAATTTGTTTCTACAAAAAACCTTAATACATTTTTGCTCTAAAATAATTTGGGGAGCCAATAATCGCATGTTATGAATTTTACATTGAAATTCCTATGATGCGTTGCGCAAGTCACCACCCTGTATACATTATACACACTAAAATAACTTTTTTAAAATATGGCAAAATCCACTTTGCACAATTTCCATAAAACTTCAGGGCAGTTTTTGTTTGTTATTAACTTCAAATGAAAATTAAATAATCCAAACCTGTATCATCCATAAAGAAAAAACCGTAATCTCTGTTTTTGGAGAAACGGCAAAGGCAATTAAAACCAAAAAATCTCCATTCGTTGTTGACATGTTATTATTGACTCTTATGATTCAGGTGTGCCATTGGCTGCTAGCGCTCGGCCTCGAGCAGCACATAACGAAATTCCTCGAACTGCAAGTGAACGGTACCGCTCTCATGCAACTAACCTCGGCCGATTTTAAGATACTGGGCATTTGCGGTGACGATAAAAATCGGCTCAAACGAAAGATAAAGGACCTAAAGATGCAGGCCGAAAAGGAACGGAAGCAGATCGAGAAAGACAGGAAGGAGAAGGAGAAGTTGCAGAAGAAGGCGGATAAGATGGCGGAGAAGGCTAGTAAGAAGAAATAAATATTTTTTGTGCGCATAGGACTAAATTAATTAATATTATTGTTTAAAGCCAAATATTGACTTGTAAATGGTTATAGTGTAAGGTATAGTAGATTATTGGTGCATACTGTTTTTGTACCAGACCTGCCATATTAAATAACGTTTAAGAAAGTATGTTAACTATTTACAAGTGGGAGGTTATGTAGTAGAGTTAAGGCCGATTGGATGCGAGGATTTAGTCAAAAGTGTAACCACAATGATACTTACGTGTTTTAGAAGTGGCGATTCTTAGTTGTAGGCTACAAGTAGTGCTCGTGGTTACTATTAGAATTGCGTTAACTTTGTACGCATCGTATACTGAGTATTCTAAACAATTTGCTGTATACACTGCGATTGATTTAAATTAACGTTTTAAATTTATACATCACTTTTATTTATTGACGAATGAAATTTTTTAATGTGCATCACCAATTTATTTAAACCATTTGTATTAGATTCACTAAAAATGTAAGATAGCTGTCAATCACACTGTATATAGATTTTTATAATTATTTTTAAACTTGATTAGGAATAAAGTTCGTGTACTGAGGTAAATGTTGCATACTCTTTAATGTAACGGTACTAAAATCTTTAACTGTATTAATTCGGTACTTAGATTTTCCGCCATACACAGGGTGTTTGGAAATGATTACTCTGCGCCTTGCTTCTATTGTTCCTTTTTTCAATTTTAGCTCATAATTTTAATTTGTGATCTTTGTAAAGTACTAATTTATTGAGTTTTTAAATTTTTTTTGTTCTTGTTTGTTTTAGATGATTATTTTAATTATTAATGTAAATTGCTGCTGCAGTATTCTTAAATTTTTTAATTGTTTCTAGCTAAAAGCGACTAATGCGCATTTGTTATCTTTAAATTTTGTGTTAATTAATTAATAGTACAAAACTCGAGTCACATATATTTCTACACATAGTGCACAGTTTTTATTTGGGACCAAATATGTTTAATTTCATTATAATTTATTTGCTCAATTTGAGTTATCAGTTTACACATATCAAATTTGTTTTTACTGGCAGCTTATTTTATTCACATGTACCTAATTGTGATTTGTTTAAATTTTATATTTAATTATAAATATTTTAAACAATGTATAGAGTTCAATATAAATAATAACCAATTTGTAAAGACGTGGTTTGTGTTAACTTTTTATTTATAGTTCTTTTACAGCTTCTTCATAGTGTAACTGTGTCTATTGCATTAATGTAAAATCATAACGTGTAGAGAAATGCTTAAGAAAGATAAAAGTTTTGTTTTGGCATACAAACAGGTGAACATATTGACAACGCATTTAATTCAAATTGTGAAATCTGCAATTCAAAATACGCCGTCACTGTCAAGTGTAGCCATTGGGACAAAAGGCCCCACCTGCTGCCTGCTGTAGCGTTTATATCAAGGCAGCGGCGAAGAAACGCCGAAGCAAACACGACAATGCGCGACGGCGTGCGAACCCTCCCACACGAATCCCCGCCGGAAAACTTGCACTTCCACGTTGCAATTTTAGATTGTGTAAGTTTGGTTGCCTAAGTGGCAGTAAGCTTCCGATTATCATTAATTTTGTCTGTGATTTTATCTATCCAACAAAACCATCATTTCATTTAAAAACTTCACCTCAAAAAGGCTGCACGTAGAACAGCCCTACTTGTTTGGAATTGTTTCTATTCCAAAGAATTACATCTACCAACCCATCTCCAGCACCTTCAATGCCGCCGTGGAGATCATACCTACTCGAAGCGCCCAACTCCACCCTACAACATTAGTTGCTTTTCAAATTCGATGCGCTGGATTGTCTTCTGGTATTCGGATACTTCGACGAGTTCTTACTAAAATTTGTTAGCCTCAAGTCCAATGATATAAAGAAAATAAACAATAGTATTTATTTATGTACTAACGAAACGGTTTGTATTCTGGTAATAACTGGAAGAAAACTACAAGTTAGACAGTGAGTAAGGCACCTGAGATGGATAAAATTAAGGACACTGTGATGGCAACAGCAAAAAAGTTTGTGGATTTCGATGGTTTCAGGAATAGGCACTTGTAGTCCAGTCAACCTGTGTCGTAAAACACCCGTTGAAGGAAAAAAATAGTATAAAGCTAATTTTTTCCCCATCGACTACTACCATTTAGACAAGTGTTTAGCTTTTTACTACTAGCGCTGAATGAAAAAAATATAATTTAGCACATCTTGCCGCCGAAGCAGTTACGGGGGTGGTAAAAAGTGTAGTCAAAATTGAGCTAGGACACCTAATTCCGTGATTGTCTTCGACATTCAACTGTAGGCTAGAAACCCCGAACGAGGGGCGACGCTACCTATCTTGCGGGGGCGAGATTATGCTAATCAAAACTCTTCGGTTTAGAATCTACGTGTGATATATGAGTGGCGATTCAATCATTTCCACATATTTTTACCATAGTTAAATTTTCCCACAAGGCCATGTAATTTTCTATCTTGCTTTTAACAAAAGGACTTTATTATGCACCAAAGATGAGTCACATCCTGTGTGTTTCACCCTTTTAGAATCTTGGTACCTGCTTACTTGACTCATAATTTCCAAAACTTGTTTTTAACCTATAAGTTACCTCTTGAAGTCTACATGCTACTTTTTGTGATGTTATAATTTTATGTTACGCATTCACATCATTACAAACAATTAATTTAAGTACACAATATTTAATATTAATTTGAGGGCTTGTTTTTTTTATTGGTAAGTCCTTTTTTCCCCAGCCGATTTCTATTTTTATTCGGTGAACTACCATTTTCAAAGTGTATTTTTGCAATGTAATTTATTTCGACTTAAATTTCTGGGCTTTCACAATCTTAATAATTATGATCATTATTAAACAAACTTTTCACAATTTCAGTGTTTTATTTTACGTACCTTCCGTACTGTGCTTCAGGTCAAAGCGTTGTTTACATCTAACGGAAGGGGGCCCTGCCTTAGATGTTTTTTTATCACTTGCCACTTTTCAAATTTAAGCGGGATCTTGTTTAATTTTGGAGGGAATCTTCATTCGAGTGGCCATTTTTAAACGTTGCCGGGTTTATTTCCGTGTTCTTGTAGTGTGAAGTTAGCGTAGAACCTGGCGGTTAAGTAACTACACTACAAATCTTTGAATTTCATGTCACAATTTGTTATATTCTTTATATTTTGCCTAAATGTTGATGTTGGTTTATTAAAGCATAACGTGCTCCAAACTTTGATTTATGAGTAGGAGTACCTTGACTGAATCATGTTTGTTTGTTGTAATGTGTTTGCTATGTATTTACATTGTTTTATTAAGTATTTATTTGTGTGTTCACGTGGACGCACCGTAAGCAATACGATAAAACAATTCAAAACAGGTCTATTAACAAAAGATCATATTTGTATTCAACAAGTAGCAAGTCCCCTCAACGTACGTATATACATACGTCATCTGTGGTGGGGCATTCGGCGCAAGTATATGCACATTAGGACGGGGTTGTTATTTGCATACGTAGAATATTCTAATGTAATCGTTTTTGCTATTGGTCTGAATTGATATGCAATTAGTCAGTACAAAGATGTTTGAGAAATGTTTAATGCTGCTATTATGCTCACTTACTACCTTTATAACTACCTCAACAAGTGATGGAATTAAAATAGAAAGCGGCATTTTGATCTTAGATAAGGACAATTTCGAAAGGGCAATAACAGGAAATGAATACATTTTTGTTATGTTCTGTAAGTATTAATACTTATCTTTGACACTTTTAATTCAATTCAAGAATGCTTATCTCCATAGCTTTTTAATTCCATAATTAGCACAACTACATTGTAGCAATGCTTCTTCCGCATAAAACTGACCAATACTTTTAGATGCGCCATGGTGTAAGGATAGCCAAGAACTCGAACCGGAATTTACTAAAGCAGCCAAAGAGACATCTAACCTAAAGATACCCGTTAAGTTGGCAAAAATTAACGCGTCCGATGAAATTGAACTACGAGCAAAGTACCATATTTTAGGTTTTCCGGTGTTGCAACTGTTCAGGCGGGGCACCCCGTTGAAGTATCACGGTAATTTTTTTCCGAAGGTCTTCCACGTTTTAAAGTCACGTACTTAAAGGTAACCGAAACTCAAAGAAAATTGCATCATGGCTGAAAGACCAAGTGAGGCCTTCAGCCCGAGAACTTCGCACCATTCAGGAAGCTACCAAAACCGTGATAGGTGAAGATATGGTTATCATAGGCTTCTTTGAGGGACCTTCTGAGCAGTTGAAGAAATTTTTAAAAATTGCAGACAGTTTCGAACGTCCCCCATTTACATTCTCCTTTGATCGAGAATCTCGTTCGAAATTTGGTAATGCATCCCATCCAATTGTGTTGTTTAAAAACGTAAGGAAAGCACAACTTATTAACAATTAACGTTTGAGACACTTTCAGTTTGATTACAACAAGGCGGTGTTTGATGAAGAATTAACCTTAGAAAACGTTCAGACGTTCGTTAAAATTGAATCTTCATTGCTAATCACGGAGTTAAACGAAAAGAACGCGGACACCATTTTTCAAGGACAGGTACAAACATTCGTGCTTCTTTTCGCGTCGAAAAAAGCCCCAACCACTGACAGCGTGGTCGAGCTGCTGAAACCTTTCGCTCGAGAATACAGAAAAAGTATGACATTTCTTTTAATCAACACGGATGATAAAAGCAACATGGATACTTTGGAGTTTTTTAAATTGCGACTTCAGGACACGCCAACGGTTGTCATCGCAAGTCACAAAAATAATGCGGAGAAGTACAAAATGGACGCACCTCTTACAGGAGATAATCTCCAAAGATTTTTTCAAGACTTTAACTCGAAACGTCTGCCAAGGTTTTTACTAAGCGAGGAACTTAAGGATGACTGGAACAAGTCAGACGTCTACACTTTAGTGGGTTCTAATTTTGCGAGGGTCGCCCACGATCCGTCTGTCGACGTTCTTGTCCTCTTCTACGGGGATGAGTGCGAAAAATGTGGTGTTTGGACCGACGTTTTTTACCGGCTCGGAGAATATTACCGCGATCAACCTGGTATTATTGTAGGAAAAATCAACGTAGATTTAAACGAGTTTGATAAGAAACCGTTTCGTAAGGAACCGGAGGTTTTACTTTACAAGAAGGGCGACAATCGTGTTGTTCCTTACAAGGGCAAGCCTAATTTTGACAAAATAATTCAGTTTGTAAACTCAAGCAGAGAGGAAAGTAAGGCGGTTAAAGAGGAGCTTTAACTTGTAGTACACTTTTCATGATGCATTTGATGAATACAATATATTTTTTTTAAGTGTCTAATGTGCGTTTTAATAGGTATGTTGGTTGCGTTGTGGATGCTCCCTCAAATTTTTGAGCATTTCCTTGTGTAGGTGTACTTCTTTTTTCGCTATTAACGCTATTAACAGTTGGTAGGTATGTAGGTACCTAGTTTTCAAGTTATTGCATTTACCAAAATTTGTTTAATTTCCAATGTAATAATTGCAGCAATCACATTACTCTGAATTTTATTTTCTACACAACCACGCGTGGATTACTCGTAGCTACATTTAAGGTTTGGGATTGTGTTTTACGGTTATTGAAGGGTTACGTCAGCGTTCCAATTACATAGTAAATGAATATAATGAATTCGAAAACTGGTGGAATGTTACCTTGATTTTCTTTCACAGAAACTTTTTCTTTAGTTGAAACGTTCCGCATTAGTACTAGGAGTACATACTAATTAAATGAATACCCACTAGAAAGTACATAATCTCGGAATTAAAAGAGGCGGATCGATCTTTTGTCCCTTCCTACGAACATACCACTCAACTGCAACTCACTGGAAATCCTTTTCAATACCCATGATCCCTAAATCAAAAGCCAACCTCGCAAATGGTTTTTCCATGTAACAGGACGTCCTTAAAATCTTTTAATTCCCTTAATTCACTAACTTTCTTTTTTTAACACATTTCCCTCTCTTGTCCCAACTTCGATTCCACTTCCTTATTTGTTAGTTATAAAATAAACAAAATTCTCTTATCTAAAGTGCGTATCTGCAACAACATCGGTTCAGAAAATTGA